ACTCGCAAGTCATTTATTTATTTATTTATTTATTTATTTATAATATGCATCTATTCATGCGCTTTACAATATCTTAATAGATGACTAATGAACAAGTTTTCCTTCTTTTGACAAATCCACCTGGTGATTATATTCACAACAATGTGCCATCACTTAATTGCTTTCTCGATTTATTGATGATAGTAATTGCAGTAAACAATGAGGAGGAAAACCCAAAGAAAAAACAACGTCATGTCCTTGTCATTTTTGTGCTTTCTCCCTGATCACCTTTTGCATGTTTGCAATCTGATGCCCATATCAAATTAATGTTTTGTACTTTATGGTTAGTGATGCTATTAAAACGATGCTTTTCTGGACTATTTTTTTATCCAACTACCAATGCAAACTAACGCCGCCCCCCCCCCCCCCCCCTTATAAACATACAAACACACCTCCTTGGTTACATTTTGTCTTTTTTTGCGTCACCTGTTGTTGCACACACTGAAGATCTAGGGCACGTATACCATTCATTGTATGATGATAGTCCCCACATGTTACAAACAAAATTGTTCAAACCCGTCAATACTACCAGTCTCTTCGGGAATCTCCTTATTTGGGGATATATCTCATGATCCCCCAATTCAAACTAAAGACCTTCCCATTTGTTAGTCTTTTGCGCTCTCCATTCGCTAGAACGCGTGGTGATAAATTGTGTCGCTAGAACTTTAAAACGCTCTGCGAAATGCAGCTGGATTCTATTGAATATTCATAACAATGTGCCATCAATTAATTGCTTTCTCCGTTTAATTGATGATAGTAATTGCAGTAAACAATGAGGAGGAAATCCCAAAGAAAAACAAAGTCGGTTCTTTGTGTGAATTTCTCCCCGAAAACCTTGCTAAAACCAGGAAGTAGTTCGCAACTAACAACTTAATTGCACAGAACCACGATCTGATTGTTGATCTATTTAAAGCGCATGAATAGATGCCTATTATAAATAAATAAATGGCTTGCCAGCTATAATTCAATAGATCTAACACATATCATAGTGTCATATCTTGAAAAGAGCTGGCAAAGTTTGAAACTTTAAATCTCAAGTTGCACTTGTGGCTTGTCTATCAGCAGAGAGTAATTCATCCCCTTCGATTGTCTGTCCACAGCCAAGGCCTGCCACTGGGGGACTTTTCACTGTGTTGATTCGACATTTTTTCAAACGTTTAAAAATCAGTGAGTTGATTGGCCGATTTTTCAGGCACCCACATAGTAGCCAATCAATGCTAGATCTGGATAAAACTGGGCAAGCTGAAAAAAGTCAACAGCAGCGTCACTTCAGGTAATTAGATGAGACTACAACCAAATTTTAAAAAAATCTTATAATATTGACAGTGGCCTTTCCCTATGTTAATATTTCATGTTTCTCTTCACAGCACAAAAATCTCACAAAACAAACGAGCAAACGAACAGATCAATATGCTGAAGAAACAAAGATCGCAAAACTATATGAATAGGGTCTATATCGTTATCATGAAAGACGGATGTCATAATCTAAGTCCCAGCCGCACCCTATCATTTACCAGGGTGCCAGATTATACAGGGTAAAATGGTAAAAGCCACCCTTTGACTTTTGGTCAGATGGAAGCAATTAAATCTGCACGCGCGCAGACGGCATTGTACCCGCTCTGAAGGGAGCTACTACAGAGATTCTTCAGTTAACTTCAATATGCACTAACAAGTTATTCAGAAGGGACTATTTTTATCTGTCATGAAGAGCAAGTGATTTAAATCAGAGCAATTACCTGTCTTGATTGCTGTCAAAGGGACTTGGCATGGGTCCGTTAAATGGCAGTGCCTGAGCAGTTATGCAAACAATTACCAACCATGTAATCAACCTAGAGATTTCATTACAGGGTCAGAGATAGTAAAATGGCCGCCTACTTATCTAAAGACATATCTGTGACTATCTTGTGAAAAGTCACTGGTAGAGGGTGCCCGCACCCCCATATTTGCTATACGTCAGTCTATTTATAAATGGATTAGGCGTTGGCTAAGTCAACCCTCGGATTCGTGAGCACAAATGACCAAATTAACGACTCGAGCCATGACTCATATATATATATGAAGCGATTCCAGACAAAACAAAATCATTTTTCTATAGCCTGTATAACAGTACCATGTACCGTGTATATGAAATCAACTGCAGTTTTATTTTGGTCTCCCTTTGCTCGACAATTTTAAACATCCTTTACAATTTCCTGGATCACTGAGGTTGAATTGTGAATGAAAAATAACACTACACGTACATATTGTACTTCTTTTTTTCCTGTACAAAAAATGAATATTTGCAGTTTTCTGCAGTATATCATTTGTTTGAAACAACATTTACAAGCATGACGCAAAATGACCATGGCAGATATTTTAGCTGGAAACCATCAAAGCACTGGGCAGGAGGAGTTGATTGATTTTTTTTTTTTTTTTTTTTTTTTTGTCGACGTCGTACTAGGGCACTCATACAGATGTTTCTGATCTTTACAATAATGAACGTGGCAATGTGAATTATTTATAAATAAGAACTAAATGCAGCCCTTGTCTTGTCAGCAAATAACAATATATAATGATAATCTACAGCACGTTTCATATTATATGACTCAATTTATTGTCATTAATTTGAAGTAAGCTGTGACCTTTTGAAATTTGAATATGAGGACAAATCTCTGTACGTCGCAAACGTTTTCCGCTTTCCTTTTATAATGCAACCACACCCGTGTCGAATTTCTCTATAAAGGAACTGAAATATAACCGGTTCTTGGGCATCAATCAGAAGGGTAGACAAAACACACGTACGTGCACACTCATGGATTAGAGTTTTCGTTGAGAATTAATAGAAAACCATTCATTCCACACAATGTTAGGACATACATCGTCAGCTGGAGATGGTCAAGCGATGGACAGATGGACAATAAACGGACACTTTTACTTTCACATCCTGGCATTTGCTATACTCGGCAACCATCCAGTATGTGGCATTAGATTTTCTGGAGGATGCGACAAAGATTACTACTCGTGCATGGAAGAATTTTGGTATAGATATAGATATACATACAACTTACAAAATGCAAAAATTGCAGTGCTTTATAAATGTGTTAATCTGTGGCAGAATGGAGCGAAAAAGACAGGCATTGGCAAACAGATAATTGCACCAAACGAAACGGTCCGCACAGTTTTACCGAGTAATGCCCAGACTGATGTACCTACACAGAGGCCACACCCAATCTATTGATATCTTACCACCAGGGAACAGGACCCACTGTCTTTCAGGATACGCTGTTGCAACTTAACAAAACCACCCAGTCCGTTCAGAATGAGGGGTAAATTGCCACCAAAACGCATTTTTCAAGGCCCTTAGCGAACACCAAACTGGTTTTAGCAGGTTAGAATACCAGACGACCTCCCAGGAACCCACTGTAAACAGCAAAACATCGTTGTATTTTTCTCTAATGAATTTGGGACCATAACCGTTTCTGGGTTGAACACTGAAACCTCGTGGCTTTCTTTATTGAGGTCAGATACCACATTGGTGCCAAAACACCAATGGTAGTCATCGACGAAAACCTGAACCAGATCAAATAAAGAAATAATCTGGGAACCACTTGGCTATTATTTGATAGGGGGCAACTTAGGAACAATTTTAGGCTGCAAGGTGAGATTGCCGGTTCACACAGAGCACTTTTAATAGCAGATTACTTACAAAACCAAGGGAATGAGAAACTACCTTGGTCATCAAAATCGCCATATTTGAACCACATAGACAATATGTGGGTAGGCCATTACTCGCCGAATCAATGGCCTACATGTCCTACAACAAAACTGGACCAAAATGGACAGATTATGACCGATGCCTGGAATGTTATTCCAGATTGAACTCTAAAAACCTATCCCAAGGAATGCCTTGCCACTTGAGGGCGCTGGTAGCAGCCAGAAGAGGTCAGGCGTAACAGCGACCGTTACTGTGACTAGACACTGACATGAGGGTCCTTTGTGGAACGTTTAACTCTTTTACAGACAATAATTTGGAAAATATGGAGGTCCAAAACATCTCTTTTAATGGTTGTCGTATGACATAGAATAGGCAATGTGTTTTTGTTTGCTTCTCTGGCGATTTCCATAAATGAACTGATGTCACAATGACATCAAAGAGATAACTAAAAGTTATTAAAACACGATTTTAATCCTTATTTTCATGTATCAGTCAGCAAAATAGGAAAAAAAACTGATGAGAAATGATTTGGAAAAAAATATTCCATATTAAATGTCAAGTCTGTATGTTCACAAGCAGCGTCATATTCAAGATCAGGATAAAGTATCTTAAGAGCTCTTTCTTGAGACTTTTCCACCACTAATCTTTAATAATGCACTGTAGCTAGCATGCATATTGTGACTAGTAAAGTTCTTCAGCTTAATGGAATTTCAAAGTCAAACCTCCAAACAACAAAGGAACACTCCAGAGCCCCCTCGCCTAAAACACACACAATCTAATCTAGCAAGTTTAAGTATTTGTCTTTTGCAAAACCACACTAGTTTCTAATTGCCAGAATTGTTTACATTTATTAAATAAAATCAAAGTTAGTCAACCATTCAACAAGGCAAGACACCCAGAGACCGACCTGTGCGCGTATGGATCGACCGGTGGCCATCTCGTCCTCCCCGCACACAACGGGGAGAGACCGGAACAGCTTGCCCGACTTGTACGGGGAAGAGTGCCTGGTTGCAGTAGACGTAAATCGCCTGACGCCTCTTCCTCCGTCCAGTCTTGTCTGTCACCGCAAAGGACCTGGGCCCCGTATCTCGAAAGCATCGCGTATTGCGAATAGCTATATCAAATAGAGGCTACAATGTATTATATGGGACGAGTATGGGCGAGTTATGGAATCGAGACGCTTGCACACGGGCGCAACATAGCGAACCTTTCGAGATACGGAGCCCAGGATCTGTACTACAAAAGACATGACAGACAGTAAATATATAATATATACAGACACATGCATACAGGATCTGCACTACAAAAGACATGACGGACAGTAAATACATGTATACAATATGTACAGACACATACAGGATCTATACTACAAAAGACGTGACGGACAGTAAATATACAATATACCTGTATACATACACATAGAGGGTCTGTACTACAAAAGCATACACAATTCGTCGGAATAATAATTTTATTTGTTTGAAAACACTAGATTTATAAAATGAAGTTCTTCAAACTGGATGCATCCAATGAATATAAAATACACGAAATGCAAGTTGTATATTATTTTAAAAAACGTCATCGTATATTTTACAAAATAATAGTTACTGTAGCACCTTCACACTGCTTTAAAAATCACTCAATGATACAGTTGTCTATGTGATCATTCAGTGCTTGATTTGAAAGTCCCTTCTCAAATTCTTTCCCACATATAGGGCACATTGCTGCTTTGAATTTCTTATTCTCCTCTTTCTTGGTTACAGCTGCAAAAGAAGCCATGATGTTGCTCTGCCTCTGTCTTTTTGGAGCCTTTGCATTGGGGAGATTCGACAAGCTAATTCTTTTTCTATTTTGAGAAAATGATGACCCTCTATCTGAAGAAAAGGAAGGGGGGATATTTGAAGTAAACTTGTTGGAGTTTGCAGCTTCACTACTTTCATTTACTGCTGAGCCACCATCAGCTTCAGCAGACAAAGCTGAAAATGATGACTCCTTCCCTTCTGTTTCTGCAACTAATCCTCTCTCAGCTTTGCTTTCAGTTTTCGTTACTGATTGGAAGAAATTTCTGATTGTCACAGGTGGTTTCAAGGCTCTTGCTAAGGATTTCTGGTTTACAAGTGTCGCTGGTTCTACAGTGGAGTGATTAATTGTGGGAGGAGTTGTATTTGAAATTCTCATAACCTGACCATTGACGACAGACTGAAATGAAATGATCATCTTATGATTCTAATTGTCTACCAATCCACTGATCAATTTAGTCAATAATGAAATATACTAAACAGTACCTTTATTGCAAAAAAAGAAAAAAAAGTAAAATCAACATCATATTTTCACATGTATTTAACTGGCATGAAAATAAAAAAAATAATAATTTCAAAAAAATTTTGTTTTTATATAACATAAATCCACCAAGTTTTTGATATTCATCTACGGTGAAAAAATAGCCTGTGAAAATAGACCCTATCGGTCAACAAGGGTCTACAAAACTATTTCAGAAACAATCATCAGTAACTTTTTGACTTATTTACAGAATTTCAATGGCTCTCGAGCCCGCACGAAAACGAAGTAGATACTCCAGCGCAGTAGACTACTGCAACCATACTGCAATCCGCAGTAGACTTCTGCAATCGTACTGCAAACATGCTTCAAATCTGCTTCGATTGGGGAGCTAATTAGCATATTTGAAACATGCTTCTATCATGCTGCTAATCTACTGCATTAATGCTCCTCCTCTGTACAACCCTAGGTAATTTTTGAAGAAGAATTGCAGCAGGCTTTACTGCATTTCTACTGCAAATATGCTCCACACCACTACTGCGTTAATGCTTCTTTGCTACTTCGATACTACTGCATTTTTGTGTGGGTCCTTCCCTTATACTGGCATATGGCATGGGGCCAGAAGAAATGCTGCAGACAGTAATATCTAAACACTTCCAACTTACAAGCTGAGACTGGGACAAGGTCTCCACCAATTTCTGCTCCTGCAACATTCTCTCCGCCATTGGAATGAGGAGTTCTGGGTAACGAATACCAACAACACGTTCCCCATCATCCAACTCCACTCTCACAACACGTATTGAGGACTCCACCTTACTGTAATATTTTGAAAAATATTTTTTTCTGACTTACTTCTATAATAAATACCAAGTTTTAGATGTACAGAAAAAAATTGTAAATAAAACAACTTAACAAATCTATTAATAAATAAATAATTTTTTTAAGCAAAGAAAGCTTAGAAAAAATACAACAGAGAAAGATGGAGAGAGGAGGGGAGGGATAGAGAGATGGAGAGAGGGGGGAGGGAGGGATGGAGAATGAGAGATGGAGAGAGGGGGGAGGGAGGGATGGAGAGAGAGATGGAGAGAGGGGGAGGGAGGGATGGAGAGAAAGTGAACCATACCTAAGGTGAAAAGAAGCAGCATTTCTTGTCAACACTGTCTCCAGGTGTGACATCAGTGTGACAATTCCACCACACAACAGGTGAAGTTTATAGCACCTGCTGCCCACTGAAATCACACAGAAATGAGAGCAATGAAAATTACTTAATTCAAGAAGTGTTTATTCTTTAAGGTTGCAATTTCTTCAATACACCAACAATTTAATGCCATCTACACCCTATACTACATACTGTAACAGTATAAAATTCAATGGATTGTAACATGTACATGGCAACAAATACCTTCACATGTTTCTAAAACTTTAGAAGGATTTACTATAAAACTTTGTGTTAGCCCTATCTGTCATTAGCAAAATTTCAAAATTCATTTGTATGGTGATGTTAAATTCTTGCTGACACTGCCTTGGTGGAAAGAAAACTGGCAATCAATAAAGTTAGTTAATATAATGGGGACCTAGGCAATGTATTGCAAATGTTCTCATTAATACCAAGGCATACATATAAACATTACCCTCTACCAGGGCCGCAGTTATTATTGTGGACATATTTGCTGAGGCAACCCTGTTACGTTAGGCCAGTAGGAAACAATTAACTCTGCCCGCGCGCAGAAGTCTTTGTACTTCAGGTACTTCAGGCACATGTATACACTGTGGCTATTACATTAACATTACAGTAACAGTACCTGAACAAGTTGGTCCATTCTTACAGTGAGGTCCATGTATACACTGTGGCTATTACATTAACATTACAGTAACAGTACCTGAACAAGTTGGTCCATTCTTACAGTGAGGTCCATGTATATACTGTAACTAGTACATTAACATTACAGTAACAGTACCTGAACAAGTTGGTCCATTCTTGCAATGAGGTCCATGTATACACCGTGACTAGTACATTAACATTACAGTAACAGTACCTGAACAAGTTGGTCCATTCTTGCAATGAGGTCCATGTATACACCGTGACTAGTACATTAACATTACAGTAACAGTACCTGAACAAGTTGGTCCATTCTTGCAATGAGGTCCATGTATACACCGTGACTAGTACATTAACATTACAGTAACAGTACCTGAACAAGTTGGTCCATTCTTGCAATGAGGTCCATGTATACACCGTGACTAGTACATTAACATTACAGTAACAGTACCTGAACAAGTTGGTCCATTCTTGCAATGAGGTCCATGTATACACCGTGACTAGTACATTAACATTACAGTAACAGTACCTGAACAAGTTGGTCCATTCTTGCAATGAGGTCCATGTATACACCGTGACTAGTACATTAACATTACAGTAACAGTACCTGAACAAGTTGGTCCATTCTTGCAATGAGGTCCATGTATACACCGTGACTAGTACATTAACATTACAGTAACAGTACCTGAACAAGTTGGTCCATTCTTGCAATGAGGTCCATGTATACACCGTGACTAGTACATTAACATTACAGTAACAGTACCTGAACAAGTTGGTCCATTCTTGCAATGAGGTCCATGTATACACCGTGACTAGTACATTAACATTACAGTAACAGTACCTGAACAAGTTGGTCCATTCTTGCAATGAGGTCCATGTATACACCGTGACTAGTACATTAACATTACAGTAACAGTACCTGAACAAGTTGGTCCATTCTTGCAATGAGGTCCATGTATACACCGTGACTAGTACATTAACATTACAGTAACAGTACCTGAACAAGTTGGTCCATTCTTGCAATGAGGTCCATGTATACACCGTGACTAGTACATTAACATTACAGTAACAGTACCTGAACAAGTTGGTCCATTCTTGCAATGAGGTCCATGTATACACCGTGACTAGTACATTAACATTACAGTAACAGTACCTGAACAAGTTGGTCCATTCTTGCAATGAGGTCCATGTATACACCGTGACTCAGCATGGGCATACTGTTCCTTCCAGTGCTTCTCTGAATAATAAAGAGGATACAGAATTAAACAAAGACCACTTAATCAAAAAGATGCATTTGAATACAAGGGCTATGAAGCTTTTCACACACAAAAAAAAAATTTATATAGGGATAATAGGGATAATTCTGATGAGATTATCATACCTGCAGTTTCCTTGCTAATAAGGATAATTTTGATGAGATTATCATACCTGCAGTTTCCTTGCTAATAGGGATAATTCTGATGAGATTATCATACCTGCAGTTTCCTTGCTAATGGGGACATATTTGGCAAAAAGTTCAGCTTTCTCTTCATCAAAATATGACACACCAGTATTGGGTCTAAAATCAGAAATTTCAAGAAAATTACATCATTTTATCTTAAGAGAGCAATAATCGATTTCCAATCAATAATTGATCAAATATAATCCTCATACATGCACCATTTCTCTTTCTCAGTCAACTTTTAAAGAACTTTCAAAACTTTCATTTTTTGATATTTGATTTTTCCTAATATTTCCTTAGGCATTTAAGCGCCATACCTGGCAACTTTGAAGAGATGAGTTGATGTATCTTTCTGTGTGGCTAAAATATACAATTTCTTTCCTCTGGTCTCTCTCTTTGAGGCGTAAAAGCCGTCGTGTGGACCAGAATGGTGTTCAGCTCTGGTTTTGGCTCGTTCCCAGCTCATCCCTCTGTCAACACTCAGTACAACATGTCTGCACCAAACACAAAGATACAGACTGTGAAATATTGTGAAATGTTTTCGTGTCACTTGTAAAATGATGGAAGTAAAAATGGATTGTTTCTTAATACTAAATGTGTGAATTTCTTTACCAACAGGATGACTTTTCAACTCTTCATCAACAAGTTTCTATCTAGTGATCAAGCAAGGGCCTCTTCTTTCCATATTTCTAACACCAACATTTTATTTCATTCCGGAATATATTTTCCTCCCCTTTTCTATACTTAAAACAAATATTCCTACCTTCCAAATTACAAATTTTCTGAGTTTCAATAACCTACTTTGTTGTACAAGTTCCTGTGTTGACTTCCTTAAAAACCTGCCGGGGTTCCCCGACTATCTGCACGGAGGCTGCTGTGATGTCAAGCAGCCCCTCATTGTACCTGCCTTCCTTCTTTGCACTATTGATGGCCGTCTCCAGACTTTCTGTGAAATAACTGAAAGCCTGCAAAAAAGTGAAGTATATATGAAAATAAACATCACAAATATCACAGCAAATTAAAGCAAAATCTATACCCAAGCTCTGATGTAAATAATGAGCTTTTCCAAAATGATGTTATATCAACAGTATTGACAATACCTTAATTGGAGATAAAGGGAAAATCGCTGAGATTTCCAAGATGACAAACTTGCGATATAAATATGTCAAACATATATTGTATTCCTTTAAGAGGATATCTGCCTATCAAAATAGTTCACATTCAGTGCCTACATACCAGGTTCTGTTTCTGGACAGCCAGTCCTAGAATTCTATTCAGAAATCTTCCAACATCACCAGCCTCTTTCTCTTTTACTGGAATTCCTGCTCGAATGGCATCTGCATCCACCATTCCCATGAGAACGAGACTCTCTTGCATTATTGCATTAAATTGAGCAAAGTCAAAATTTTCCTGGGTTACTTTTGACAGGGAAACCCCTTGGACTAGTTGTCTCTAAAAATAAAAGAAAGCTAGGAACATTATTAAAAGCCTTTCTAAATCACTTAAACTAGACAAGAAAGGTCTAATTAGCTTGTTACTAATTTAATTAACTTCCATAGCAACAGTTGCTAAGCAACGCTTTGAAGTTTTTAGCACTACCCTTAAAAACAATCAGCATAGTCCAAAGAACATTTGTACTAAGTTTCATGCTTTTTCCACATTCTGAGGGATTTGTACAATATACAGCACCAATCATCCTGACTAAAATAGACTTACTGTAGATATTGCATGGTACATTGCACGTAGCGCTCCTCTCCCATAGGGTGTGTCAAAGTTAAACTCTGTCAGGTCAGCTCCAGTGGCAGCCCGCCTGTCTCCCTTGGTTAGAGCGCCTGCCATATAAAGAACAATGGAATATTTGATGGAAAAGAAAGAAGAGTTCACCTGTCTCCCTTGGTTAGAGCACCTAGCAGGTAAAGAACAATGGAATATTTGATGGAAGAGAAAGAAAAGTTCACTTGTCTCCCTTAGTTAGAACACCTGCCATGTAAAGAACAATGGAATATTTGGTGGAAAAGAAAGAAGAGTTCACCTGTCTCCCTTGGTTAGAGCACCTGCCATGTAAAGAACAATGGAATATTCGATGGAAAAGAAAGAAGAGTTCACCTGTCTCCCTTAGTTAGAGCACCTACCATGTAAAGAACAATGGAATATTCGAGGGAAAAGAAAGAAGAGTTCACTTGTCTCCCTTGGTTAGAGCACCTGCCATGTAAAGAACAATGGAATATTCGATGGAAAAGAAAGAAGAGTTCACTTGTCTCCCTTGGTTAGAGCACCTGCCATGTAAAGAACAATGGAATATTTGGTGGAAAAGAAAGAAAAGTTCACCTGTCTCCCTTGGTTAGAACACCTGCCATGTAAAGAACAATGGAATATTTGATTGAAGAGAAAGAAAAGTTCACCTGTCTCCCTTGGTTAGAACACCTGCCATGTAAAGAACAATGGAATATTTGATGGAAGAGAAAGAAAAGTTCACCTGTCTCCCTTGGTTACAGTGCCTGACATGAAAAGAACAATGGAATATCTGGTGGAAAAGAAAGAAGAGTTCACAGTGAAAATGAGAAAAACTTCAGAAAACTGCATGGCATCACAGGAATGGCAATGTATGTTAATAAAACACCTACCTCACATCAAATAAATAAATAAAAAAGTTTTTGTACAGGTAAACAGAAAATTATGGTTTTTAAAACATAGGCCAACACCCTCAAGAGAACCTCAAACATGCAACACAGGCATAGGTTTATACTACTGTAGGTACCCAGCTCTCAATGTATTTAGAATCTTCACAATGAAAACCATCAGAAGTTTAAATCTTTGACTGCAGGAAGTCAAATTTAAAAAAAATTCAGAAACTTAGGTTACTAACGGGGTTTAACAACCAGAATGCAGTAATTGTGAATAAAAGTAAAGCTTCACTTCTTTTCAAATATGGTGTAATCATGTTCATGAATATCAAAATTTGATTGCTCCAGCAATATTATAGAGCAGTCATTTTCAAGTATTTCAGTTCCATACCTAATGACTCAAATTACAGAGCAGTCATTTTCAACTATTTCAGTTCCATAACTAATGCCTCCTATTACAGAGCAGTCATTTTCAACTATTTCAGTTCCATACCTAATGACTGTAACCTCCTGGCTACAGCTGCAGCAAAGCGTCGCTCCCCACCCAGATTTGTTGTAAGTAGTTTATAGAGAGGTCCACTACTCTGATTTGACCTGTGTGACCTCCCTAACTGCTGCACCGCCTTGTCTGCGCTCCATGGAAGCTCCACAGTTAAATGGATTCTGCGGCGCTGATTGGCTGCTCTCAGGTCAGCATGAAGAGAAATTCCTGAAATCAGCCAATGAGGGATGAGATAACAAACTAGTAAAAGCTTCTAGAAGATGGCAAAATTATAGTCATTACCATATTAGTGAAATAAAAAATCAATCCATCTGTGGTGAACAGGGTTTTTCATTGTGTAAAGTTGTATTTCTTCAGATAAGATTTACTTTTTAGTCTATTTTACTTTTTCATCCTCTCAATAAAGCCAGATTGTCTGCTCAAAGTGGTCAGCTGGTTTGGAGGCAGTGGACCTCCTGACCTCAATTAAACAATTACCATTTCCACTCCCAAAACAACTTCATCTTACCTGTGCTAGCAGCATCTGAAATAATGGCCACTAATTTCCTTCCTTCCATGAATGCATTTCTCTAAACAGCAAATATTAATACATTTAGTTTAAAAATAGTATAAGCAAATTTGATTAATAAAATTGATAACCTGCTTCTTTAATAATTTGTTAATCCTAAATTATGTATTACGTAATAATGTACTTTAGAGCATAAAACTCTAAATAAACAAACACACTTAGATTTACTTGATTTTTATGCATATTTAAAAAGAGTAAACAATCTTAATAACAAGGTATAAACCTGACCAAAGCATGATGTCATTTATTTTGAACAGACATACACAGTTAATAGTATTACCTCTCTAACATTTAGACTGTCCATTACACCATTAGAGTCAAGGTCTCGTAACATTTATTTTGAACAGACATACACAATTAATAGTAATACCTCTCTAACATTTAGACTGTCCATTACACCATTAGAGTCAAAGTCTCGTACCGTTTATTTTGAACAGACATACACAATTAATAGTAATACCTCTCTAACATTTAGACTGTCCATTCCGCCATTAGAGTCAGAGTCTCGTAGCTCATAAGATGGGGTCAGTGTGTGACATCTACGAACCACTCTTCCTCGTCTTCCTGTCATCTCTGCCACACTGTCGGGACCTCCCATTTGATCAATGATCACATCAAGAGGGCTATGATAAAAATATAGAAAAACAAGTTTTATTTTTTCTCTTTGGTATAGATGGTAAAAAAGTCAACCGTTTCTTAATTAAGAGACTAAAGAAGTTTTTACTGGTTTCCACGTCCCATCTGATCCCACATCCAATAGTCAATCATGTGACCAAGCAAATGTAAAACACTTCATCTCATAAAAAACAATTTACTTTTTTTTTACCATATTAAGATTTATATAAATAATTGGATAAAAATTAACACAGTCTGGAATCGTACAATTATAGATATCAAAATCCAGAAATGACCCTACTTCTCCCATTCAGAAGAGAAAAGGGTAAANCCGGCGGAGCCGGCGGAGCCGGCGGGGCCGGCGGAGCCGGCGGAACGATCCGGACGAGACCGAAACCATGTGTACCGCCAGCGCTAACGCTGGTGGTACAATAAATAGTGGTTAAATTATAAAAATGACTTTCAGTTAATAGTAAAAATCTGAGATTCGTTATTGTTATTTTCATTGACCAATGACTTATGTTTTGTTTGTCCTTTACCTGAAAATTCTGAAAAGTTGGTCAATTTCAGAGTCTCCCCTGAACAAGGGGACCTTGGTGACCATCTCGGCAAAGATGCAGCCTATGCTCCACACATCTATGGGTGTGGAATACCGCTGGGAGCCAAGGAGGACTTCGGGTGCTCGATACCACAGGGTCACAACCTGGAAATAATAATGAAATGAAAGTAGATATTTTCCTTTTTCAGCTAGTCATTGTTGTATTTCAACAATTTACATGCATCACTGGTATGGAATTTTTTTTTTTTTTAATATTCACACTTTGTTCTACTGTTTTACTACTCTACCTTATCAAATGGCATGCTTGGCATGATTATTTAACAGACTGCAATTCTCTCAAACTATATAAGAAATTTTATGGAAGTACAAATTTACATATCATTTTTGACCGCCTAAACCCTACCTCATGAGTGTACACCCTGACTGGGATACCAAAAGCCCTTGCCAGACCAAAGTCAGCCAGTTTGATGACTCCTTTGTTATCTATCAGCAGATTCTGTGGCTTCAGGTCTCTGTGAAGCACACGTCTCTGGTGGCAAAACAAAATTCCCTGGGTGATCTGATATAAATAGCTCTGAAGTTATAGAAAAGAAATGGCATGTTATTGGAGACAAAAAAAAAAGTGGGGGTGTAGGTAAAGTATGTTATTTAATCAAATACTATCAAAACTGCTCCATTATCAAATATGTAATATAAGTATGATAAAATAAGTGAATCTGTTTGGTAAACTGTTTTTAAGATTTTCCTTTAAAAAAAAGTCTTATCACAAGTGAAGATTCAAAGGAAAAAAGAAACTAATCAATGGTTACCAAAAGTGTTACAGGTGTGTAAAGTTCATACCTTGACAAGCATCTTGTCCATGTACTGGCCTGAGGGAATGGAGTCCATGTATTTTTTCAAGTCCATGGATAGGAACTCAAATACTAAGTACAACTTGTTCTCTTGCATCAAGATGTCTTCCAAACTGAAAATAATATAAAAGTGCACAGTACTGTGATATGTTAACACTGCATGTAATAAGTGACAGACTTAAAAAAAGCATTGACCCCTCTCTTTGTTCTACAGTTAAAAAAAAAAATACAGTATTTGGATAACATTTATATAAGAGAGTATGTACACAGCTTCAATTAAGCTTCAATAGAGTCCACAGACCTCCATTATAACTTAAAATATGAAACTTAAAGACAGGTTTTTTTTAACACAAACCAAGTTTAGTCCCTATAACAAAATAAAATCATTCCATGTCCATACTCAACCATTATATTAAAAGACGTACATCATATGCACAAAATATAAAAATGTTAACCGTCTCCTTACTTCACAACATTTGGATGCTGTAATTCCTTCAGGAGAGAAATCTCCCGAATTGCTGTTGATGGGACTCCTTCCTCTTCACTCTCCAGACGGATCTTTTTCAGTGCAACAGTTTTGTTGTTCTTTTTATTTCTACCTTTGTACACAACCCCATAGGTTCCTATAGGTGAAAAAAAAAGGTTCATAAGTATTTTTTAAAAATTTAGCATCAATATGACCAACTTTACCAATCAAGTTTAACATTCACAGCTGCTTACAAAGCCCAGTTAGGCCTTCATTTCTGAGCCCCAAAACATGTATAAATAAATTTAAAACTTCTTGAGTCCCCTTGAAATACATATTACTTTTTAAACACACAACTTTAGTCTCAGTAAACTAATGATGGGAACAAATATTTTCTTGGAAAACTTCACCTTCTCCAATCTTTTCTATTTTGACATAATCATCCATATTCATATTGAAATGCACTGTCCCAAAGCCTATGCAGTACCCTGAAATAAAATCAATTAACAGGCATAGTTGAAAGTAAGAAAAGTTTAAAGCACTGAAATAAGGTTTAATATGCACAGCTTACAGTATTAACATCATTTAATACTGTTCTAGGTTCACTATTTACCATATCTTTTGTAAACATTTAAACAACTGATTTTTAAATTCCATGGCATCCTTGTGATGACAACTATAAAAACAGTAAAAAGTATGCTTTCTCTTGTAAATATGAATATGTTTAGTATGACAATATTTGATATGATATCATTTAAATTTAAACCCGAATTTATGTCAAAGCAAAGTTACAGCAAGTGTATTATCCATTTTAATGAATTGCGACAATAACAAACTAAGGGCAAACATCATATTTTCAATCTGTTCAGAATACTGCATTAAATTAAAGAAACGAAAAATTTAGATTTGCTTTACAAAAAAATTAAATTGAAAAATAATAACAAACAAGGCAGCAAAGCTGTCAAATGTACAGACAAAAAGCAGGAAATAACAATGCAAAAAAATAGGCTACTGTCAATTCTGATGTAAAAATACATTATGCTTAACTACAAATTCAACATCAAATTTTAATTATGCTCAACAGGTAATACCAATGTAAGTAAAATGTGTAACAAGCATAAGGCTTCAGGCCCATGGGAGTTAAAGTTCACACTTTGAAAATGCCAGAATGAGAAAAATGAAAGTTTCACACAAAATTGTATAATTCAATAATAAATGACAACCCAATTGAGCTGGCTTTCTAATTTGAACTGCATGCCAATCTTAAAAATCATACTTGTAAGTTAAAAATAATAAGTAACACAGTTTTCTTTTCATAATTTTTGTAGTAGCAGTGCAAAAAGATTTCTGTCCATTTTGATGTAACATT